GGGCGGGTCTGACTCAGGCAGACTGGAGCCACGGGGGCTGCTCTGGCCCTGCCCTCGCACCCGCAAGCAGCAAGCAGCAAGCAGCAAGCAGCACCCAGCCTCCCTGGACCTCCACCTGGACCCTGGGCCCTCATCCAGAAGCCAGACAGCCCAGCCTCTCTGGCACTCATGGCTGGGAAGATAAGGCCAAACCTACATCCATCCCCAGCAGAGGCGGGGCTGGGCTTTGCTTGGTTTTCTTCTCCTTTCCCTAACTGCTACGGGGCGTGTGGGGCGTGTGAACTCTCGCCAGAGGGAGACAGAGACAGTGGGAGAGAGAAAGCAGCTCTCAATGGGTGTGGTCACGCCGCAATGTCTTCTCCACCCTGTCAGCATTGGGGCACGCACACACACATGCCCGGCATGTTTTCAAGCTGGGGCCGGGATCTGAACCATGGTCAGCCATGTACAATCAGCTCCCTTAACCACTAGGCTACAGGGCCAGCCGGGTGTAGCCTTCTTCCCCTTGTTTTCCTTTTGCCCCAGTTTCTCGCGGTATCTGTTTAATCCTGCGATACTGTGAGCATTTTGTAAGCCAACTCGAATCCTTCCTGGAGCGAAGCGGGCACACAAATTAACCGGTCGTAATCTCTAGTAATCATTTGGTAAACCTCTGCCCACAGTGTGTGAAGGGCCTCCTGCCCGGCGAGCCCTGGGAGCAGGCTTGAGCCACACCTTAGCTGCCAGCCGCACCCGCCAGGGTGTGCCCGAGGGGCCTTCGGGACAGCCCTGGCGGCAGGCGTGCCCACCTGTGCAAAGCCCACCCCCCAGTTCCAGGACTCGACTCGAGGTGTCTCTACTCACTTGAGCCCACCGATAGCAATGGGGACTTGCCTTCTCTCGCCACCCGCTCCCTGTTCCCTTTTTCTTTAAGAACAAGAATGTGGACACCTACCTCCTACATGACCTCCAAGCCACCAGGTGGGGAGGGACTCGGCGGAGCCCCAGGTGCCGGAGGCCCCAGGAAGGGAGCCAAGGACCCCGAGCGGGGCACTCCCTCTTCTCACAGCCCTCGGGGGAAGCTGGTCGGGCAGGTACAGGGAGGAGCAGGACTCTGGCTCCTGGCCTTAATGTCCATGATCTGAGGACAGCGACAACGCTTCTCCTCAAGGTTCTGGCCCGGCTCACGGAAACCACTCTCCCACCCTGTCCTACTGCCAGGAGCTGCGATTTCTCAGCAGCCGCTGACCCACGGCCAGGCCCGCCGAGTATGAGGGGGTGGAGAAGCCGGGTGGGGAGACTGTTCCGCCCAGGCTGCGTGGTCTCGAACAAAGCCCAGCTCTCCAGCTTTGGCTGACCCCACAGTCTTGAGCAGTGGCCCCACGTCAGGACCCCACAGGGACCCCAGCAAGGACAACCACGGCCCAGCCTTGGGTGGAAGGGAGTCGGCGTGCCAACTGGCAGAGCCACAGAGGAGGCGCGTGTGCCAGGAGAGGCCAGAGAGCCAGTGGTGTGAGCGGGTCTGTGCTCCGGCTTCAATGCACACCTCCCGCCCAAGGCCTCTCCCCAACTCAGACCCCTCCACACCTTCTCTCGCATGTCTGGGAACTCGAACCCTCGCCCCCTGCCCAAGCCTGTGGCACGCACGGCCACCCTAGCCCCACCTCCTAGTTGCTCATCACACTCGGAGGAAAGGCCAGGGTCCTCTGACACAGGGCTGTGTGTGGTCTGAGAGGAGGGCACGGAGGGAGGGAGGGCCGGGCCACCTCACAGCAACCGACTTTGCCATGCGGCCCATACTGACACAGAAGCGTGGTGGTTAGAGCAGCTGGATCCCACGTGGCCAGCTGAGCGATTCAAGTCCCGGACACGGCAGCGTGGAGAATATGCCGGGCGTACGTGTGCATACCTAAAATCCCGAGACCGCATTTGAGGCGTGGGCACCCCCCAGGGGGAGTTCTCACTCTCCACCCTCTCTCTCTCTCTGGTCCCGGAGCACATGAGCCCTATAGCAAAAGCGAAAGAAGTATCTGGCGGGGATGGGCCAGGAATTCCATTAACGCACCCCGCCCTGCACCTCAGGCTGGCCACTGCCCGCTCCACCCTGACCTCACCCTGACCTCACCCGCCACACCCCTCGCTCGCTCCAGCCCAGCTGGTCACCCCCATTCCTGGGACACCCCTCGCTCGCTCGCCCCGGCCTCCGCGCTGCTGACCCTGTGCCCGCACTGCACTCCACACCGTGGCCACGTGCGCACCCTCCTCCTTCAGCCCTGCCCTGCGTCCTGGCCGCTGTATCTGTCGCTGCCCTGCCCCTGCAGCACTGCGCGGGCGGTTTCTGGCTACTTTCCACGGCCATCACATCACGTGCTCTAACTCCTCTATCTTGTGGTTTCCTTCCCCTTCCCCACGGATGCGCCACGGGGCTGGGGCCCCGCGCATGGCACACGGTATCCTGCGGGAGGCGGGGAGGCGGGCGCCCAGAACAGGAGGGCGGCACAGGGAGCCCGTGCTGAGCCCACAGGCAGGCCTGCCCGCTAGCAGCCCCCCAAGACGTCCGGTGGCTTGCCCACTACGGCACACTCCGCGATGCAGCTGCCAGGAACCCTGGGCTCTCCGGGGCGTTGAGACCCAGGCCCAGAGAAGCATCTGGAAGATGGAGGTGGGGTGGGCCGGGGGGCTGCTGTGAGGGAGCCAGTCAGAAGGTGGGGGCAGATCTGGGGCCACGAGGAGACCAAGGGCAGGACCTGATAGGGGTGGTGCACCGGGAGGAGGGAGGAGGGGCCGTGGCCCTGCTGTCCGCCCACGCCATCAGCACTGTCCTCGTCCTCGGGGCAGACGCTGCAGGCACCACCATGCCACCTGCGGCTGCTCCCGCATGCGGGCTCAGCAGCTGGCCTGCCCCGGGGCCTGGGGGCTGGACCCCCGCGGGTGCCCTCAGCGGTTCCTGAACCATGGCCGCAGGGCAGCGCCGGTTGGACCCCTCCCCTGCATGGTTCCAGGCGGGGGCTCCAGGCAAACCTGAGGCCTGGACCTGGAGCGCGGCCTCCACTGGGTTCTGGTGAGGCGCGGGAGAGGGCCTGGGCCGGAGGGGGTGAGCCGTGGGGAGAAACGCACCCCGGGCCCCTGAGGGGAGGTGCCACTCCGGGTACACCTGTTGGACCAAAGCTCAGCTGGGCATGGGAACTGCCAGAGGAGGGGACTCAGGTCTACCTTCAACTCGGGCCAGGAGTGGGGGAGACCCCACAGGCTGTCACGGTGGGGCTAACCCAGGTGGTGGGGAAGGCACAGACACAGGGTGGGACCTGAGACTGGTCACCCGTCAGGCCGCCCTGCTGGGCCAAGAACCGACACTCACCACCAACGTGCACAGCAGACCTCGCTGGTTTCTGAGCGGGTGGGCACAAGAAAGACAGGGGGCCCCCAAGACCTGCCAGAAACAGCCCCCAAACACCTGACAGACCAATGGGCAAGTGCCTCTTGTTGACCCTGGAGACACGAGCTCCAGGCCAGCAGGCGGCATAGCAGTTAGGCGCCAGATCGCACATGGCCAACTCCACGGTTCAAATCCCAGACCTGGCAGTTTGAAAAGCACACTGGGTGCATGTGCATGTGTGCCCCAAATCTTGAGAATGGAGCAGGAGGGACTGGGGCGAGATTTCTCACCTTCCTTCTGCTTCTTATTTACTTACTTATTATTATTTTAATTTTGTTATAGGGCACATGTGCTCAACAGAGAGAAAGTGAGACAGGAGCTGCCAGGGTCCAGGACTTGAACCACAGTTGGCCACGTGGGAGTCCAGTGCTTTAACCACCATGCCACCTGCTGGCCCTACTTTCCCTCTCCTCTCTCTCACTGTCCTTCTTGGACAACTGCACATGCCCTGTGGCAAAAAGTTTTAAAAATAAATAAATAAAAAGGAAACCTATTCCGACTGTGGCTAGGACACTCCTCACAGTGCAGAGCTGGTCTTCCTTTTTTTAAAAAAAAAAAAACATTTAAATTTGTTTGTTTGTTTTTAACCTGGCCAGAAAAGGACAGAGTGAGAGAGAGGGGAAAGCAAGCCGCCAGGTCCAGGACTTGAACCGCGGTCCGCCATGTGGGAGTTCAGTGCCCTTAACCACAACGCCACCCGCTGGCCCCCTCCCTGAGCTTTCTAACGTATAAGCCACTAGGGGAAGGCAGAGGCAGGAAGGAAAGCGTCCCTGAGCTAAACACAGTGACGGCAGCAATGGGCAGCGTTCGCAAGGATGAGGCGTGAATGCACTGTTTCCAGGGCTGAATGGAGGCCGGCCTTACCGGGAAGGCGCACGGAGCCGTCGGCGCCACCTCTGCTGTGAGCAGAAGAGAGCAGACAGCTTCTCCTGTCGCGGGGAGACCCCAGGGGACCCAAGGGAGAGTGGACCGAGAGCATGTCTCGCAGGCAGCCCCGATAATCTGTTTCCAGCTGAACCTGCGACAGTCGTAGGCTCTGACCAGATGCATTATTAATTAGTCAAAAGAGAAGCCCCATTTAGTTACCCACTGAATGAGGTGTCCGAAACGTGACCTGGAACCGACAGTACAGCTAACTCTCTGTTCACCTCGGTAATGGGGACTTCAGGGAGGACGCGGCTGACTGGGAAGTACGAACGGTCCCAGTGCATGCCCGGCAAGGCACCATGCGGCGCTAAGGACGTGGCTTCCTGTGGCCATCCTCGGAGGAGCTTGGGTCTGCCTGGCACCTTCCACTCCGACGAGCCAAGGGGTCTGATCCACCGCCACGGCCAGTCTGGCAGGCGGCAGAGCCCCACGGGGCTGTCAGGGATGGGGGAGCACGGGTCCCATGCCTACTCAGAGCCTTCGGCAGGACCTCCACAAGTGACCTGCGGTCACACGAGGGGGAGCGCGGGAGAAAGGGGTCCTGGGTCCGCCAGGCCCCGCGGGAGACAGGGAGAGAGTTGGCTGTACTGGCATGGCAAGCACACCCCAGCAAGCTGCCCAGCATTTCTAGGAAGGAGAAAGCAAACCGCCGTCCCACCTCGGGCTGCGCGGTCACAAGTGAGGCAGGGCTGGGCCCAGTCGCCATTGGGGCGGGGGGGCAGCCCCAGGTGCGGCAGGAAGGGGTGGCGCTGGCTCAGTGGCTGCAGCTCCTCACTCTGACCCAGCGGGGCCTCTGTGCGGTGCTGGGGGCACAGCGAGGCCTCGGGC